CATTCCTGCCACACTGCAGCAGCTGAGCCATGTTTTCTGGAACTTTATGAGATGTCAAGCAGGGATGTCAAACTTAAAGGCCTCAAGGGAAGCAGGTGACAGAAATGAGTGAGTCAACTGGGGGCCAAGGTCAACTGCAGAAGAGTGATCTGATCACTCCCTCTGGCTATGGGGAGATTTAAGCCCAAAGTTATTAGCTCTGGAATTGTCTGGAACTTCCCAATTAAAAGATCTGGGCAGAGAACAAGCAGACTGCATAATGGTTATGTTGCTAGAATCCCACATAGTCAGTCACTCCCAGACCTGACAGCTTACAACTCATGCTGGGCACATGTTCGTGTGTGCTCAAAATCTCGAGAGGAGAATGGAGGAGAAGGGATTGTAGCATGGCCATCCCTCCTGACGGGTGATTTCTCACTTTCTGTCTCTTTGTCTCTCTCTCTTTTTTTCTTTAGAGGTTTTTGCTATAGGGCACGTGCGCTCACCAGAGAGACAGAAAGTGAGAAATCACTCCCCAGGGGGGATAGCCATGCTGCAATCCCTTCTCCATTATCCTCTCAGGATCTTGGGCACGCATGCACACATGCCCGGCATGAGTTTAAGTCACTGAGTCTGGGACTCAAACTGCGATCGACTACATGGGAGTCCAGCAACATAGCCATTACGCCAACTGCTGGTCCCCTCTTGCACCCTATAGCAAACGTCTCTCTAAAAAAATATGTATTTTTCTGTATGTGCCACAAAGTATGAACAAGATTCCATCATGGATTACCAGATTCCTCTGATCTAGGAATCTTAACTGATATAAACTATATTCATGGAAATTTAGAATCACACTATTAAACTCTTAGACATATGGGAACATAGCAACTTAGGCTTCTTTTTTTTTAAAGTAATTATTTAATTTAGTTTTATTTATTTATTTATTTATTTATTTATTTATTTATTTATTTATTTATTTATTTATTTATTTATTTATTTATTTATTTATTTATTTATTTATTTATTTATTTATTTATTTATTTATTTATTTATTTATTTATTTATTTATTTATTTATTTATTTATTTATTTATTTATTTATTTATTTATTTATTTATTTATTTATTTATTTATTTATTTATTTATTTATTTATTTATTTATTTATTTATTTATTTATTTATTTATTTATTTATTTATTTATTTATTTATTTATTTATTTATTTATTTATTTATTTATTTATTTATTTATTTATTTATTTATTTATTTATTTATTTATTTATTTATTTATTTATTTATTTATTTATTTATTTATTTATTTATTTATTTATTTATTTATTTATTTATTTATTTATTTATTTATTTATTTATTTATTTATTTATTTATTTATTTATTTATTTATTTATTTATTTATTTATTTATTTATTTATTTATTTATTTATTTATTTATTTATTTATTTATTTATTTATTTATTTATTTATTTATTTATTTATTTATTTATTTATTTATTTATTTATTTATTTATTTATTTATTTATTTATTTATTTATTTATTTATTTATTTATTTATTTATTTATTTATTTATTTATTTATTTATTTATTTATTTATTTATTTATTTATTTATTTATTTATTTATTTATTTATTTATTTATTTATTTATTTATTTATTTATTTATTTATTTATTTATTTATTTATTTATTTATTTATTTATTTATTTATTTATTTATTTATTTATTTATTTATTTATTTATTTATTTATTTATTTATTTATTTATTTATTTATTTATTTATTTATTTATTTATTTATTTATTTATTTATTTATTTATTTATTTATTTATTTATTTATTTATTTATTTATTTATTTATTTATTTATTTATTTATTTATTTATTTATTTATTTATTTATTTATTTATTTATTTATTTATTTATTTATTTATTTATTTATTTATTTATTTATTTATTTATTTATTTATTTATTTATTTATTTATTTATTTATTTATTTATTTATTTATTTATTTATTTATTTATTTATTTATTTATTTATTTATTTATTTATTTATTTATTTATTTATTTATTTATTTATTTATTTATTTATTTATTTATTTATTTATTTATTTATTTATTTATTTATTTATTTATTTATTTATTTATTTATTTATTTTAATTTGACCAGGAAGGAACAGAGAGAGAGGGAAAGTGAGAAAGCAAGCTGCCAGGTCCAGGACTCAAACCGTGGTTGGCCATATGAGAGTCTAACACCCTTAATCACCATGCCACCTGCTGGTGCCAAGAATTCTTGATTCATTATTTCATCTACAAATTATTTATTCAGTGACTGGTCTCTGCCTGGCCCATGCTGGACCATATGAGGGACATAGTGGGGACTGAGCCAATCCTGGTCCTGCTTCCACAGATTTCCAGGATCCAGCCAGACCACGATGACCTAGAAGGATCAGGGCTAAAGACCAGGATAAGGGAGGCACTGGGAGAGGAGTCAGAGCTAGGATGGGGAGTTATAGGCAAATGAATGTGATTGGGAAACCCAGAGGCTGTAGGAGCCCAGAGGAGGTACTTGTGTTGGACAGTGATGAAATATTTTAGGCAAAAGAGCAGTATATCAAGACCTTCAGAACTTGGGAGGACCTGGAGTATGAAGGCTGTAGGCGAGGGGTAGGTGATGATGGAAGAGAAGCTGGTGGGAACTGGATCTTTTTTTTAAATGATTATTTTATTTAACTTTATTTACTTATTTTAAGTTTGACCAGAGAAGGATGGGGGGTAGGGGAGTGAGAAAGCAAGTTGCCAGGTCCGAGATTCAAACTGTGGTTGGCCATGTGGGAATCCAGCACCCTTAACTACCATGTTATCTGCTGGCCCCAAGGAGCTGGATCTTAAAGGGTCTTAGAGGGTACTGGGAGCTATGGAAAGATTTTAAGTAGAGGTGGGAGATGGTAAGATGAGGACTGAGAACTCTTCAAATCATAGAACCATGCATCAGAGAGCATGTGTCCCAGAAAAATGTAGGGATCCTCTTTAAGGAAAACATTTTCCTCATTACTCTTTGGGTCCACTTAAATTACTATAGCTACAGTTTTCTTAAATGCACACAAACACACAACTGTTTAAATCTCCCATGTCTGCAGTCCTCCTGTAGCTCTATAGCTAAAACACTACAGAGAAATTCCAGAATCAAACTGCAAAGACATAAATGTTCAGCTTAACAGCCAGCCCCTGAAACTACCCCTGGGGCAGCTACCTTGCGCTCCAAATGCAGACCTGATGGATCCCATTCTTCTGTCACCCTTTGCCCACTGCCCTTAGAGTTTTTGTTTGTTTGTTTGTTTGTTTTTTAAATTTTTTTAGAAGTTTTTGCTATTGGGCGCATGCACTCACCAGAAAGACAGAGACAGAGAG